ATACCTACATGTTTGAGTGAAATACAACAAATTAGGTATCATTGGAAAGATAATTTTGTACCCTTTCAAATGATATATCACTCGACCCCACTTTTCATTTAAAATTTTAGGGTTGTTACTCACCCTCGCTAGGGTAGGAGGTTGCAGGCACAGGTAGATAAATACATCTGAAATGTGTCCCCCTTAAAAGCAAAATTGACCTGTCCGAGCATTTTTGCGTTAAATAACAGAAAAAGGAGAAAAGCAAGGTGCATACTTTTCGTTGGACCACTCTGTGTAGGTCCTGAACCAGCTCTGGGGGGTACCAAAAAGTATTGGTACGAAACCAGATTAGGACATGGACCAATAAGAAGCACACAGACTACTGGACAAAAGTATCTGGTAACAAACACAGTAGAACCTTCATTAGGGAGCCGTCCGAGAAAAGAACCGAAGAACTACTTCAATATAGTAGGGATCGGCTCAGAATAATTACAGGGTTTAACCGGTCATTGTCCACGGAGACCTCAGCTGCAGATTATGCAACGAAGGGATAGAAACAGCTCTACACATCTTATGCGAATGTGAGGCACTGAATCACAGGAGGCAGGCAATATATGGACGTACAAAATTACGTCCAGAAGAATATGCCGAACATCCAACACGGAACCTGTACAAACTAGTACATGGAACGAGACTGATGGAATGGGTGTCATGAGAAGATGGGAGAATAAACGCAAAAAGCCCAAGAGGCTGCAGAGTTTTCTGAAGACTTGGACTAAATGGACAAGTCAGACAGCTCCCAAGGGACCAAAAAAACCTGGCGATTTGATTTTTCCTGAAGATTCGTATTTTTTCTTTCGAAGGAATGAAATGCCAAGTAAGTTTTCGTTTTGTTATGTACCTAGAACAATGAGAGCCAATATCAATTTCCACGCAGAGCACTGAATAGCGAAGTCAAGTTCACAAAATTGACCGCGTTTGGAAACATTTCTTTTTGTTGCGTGAATTCAGGACATGCGAAACAGTGCTTGTATATATTAGCTGACGCGACGCCATGGATTATAATGTCACGGTTATCGTCGAAATTAGATCCATATTATTTATAACGCAGTGAACATGTGTGTTGCAGACATCTACGATGTATGTTAGATCTCCGCTGGAGACAGCACTATAATTATTATTGAACTGGTGGCTTTTTATTCTCTTCTCGGAAGATTGTGATTTACCGGCTGTCCACTCGTGTTCTGCCGATAATGCTAAATCTTTGTGGAGATATATAAAGGTGAGAAGTTCATTTGTTATTGAATTAGAAGGGTGGCTTACGGATTAACAAAAAATATTTTAGAAAAATATGAATTCTGAGTGAAACATTCAATAAAGTTTCAAATTGTAGAAAAACAACAAGTGTAACTCAAATTCTGAAGAAGCAGTCCAATACTTGGTGTCGGCCGAATTTAGAAGTTGAAACCTACAGATTAATGAGGTCTTACCTTTCCACGTGTGATTTTTAACATGACCAAGCGAATCCATTCAGGAACAGATCAATCATTTAGTTGATAGCCACGCCCAACCTTTTTCATTCAGATAGCGATTGAGTTCTCGAATTGATCCGTCGCCGTATAAAAACATCTGAACCTTATTACAGGTTTCTGCAATGAGGTTTCTCAGACTTCGCAAAGTTTATAAGTAAAAATATTTTGGGTCCACTCAAATCACTGATGCCGTCTGCCGCAGTAGCAGACGAAACTTTTGGTATTCGTTCGACTACGGCTAGCCCGGATTGGGTTCTCTTTAACTACAGTTCAAGTAAAGATATAGTGCAACCTAGCTTCCAACAGCTCCCTTTTAATAATATAGCTAGGGAGCTAACTAATTTCATTATTCAATAATCATTTCTGATTATATAAATAGTTAAATAAACCGAATAACTGACCTTCTAGCGGTTAGTGATTGCGGAAACATAAAATGCAAATTTACATTCTTTACTCTTCAATTATATTGTTACAAGTTATGAATAATTGGTATGGCATTGTTACGTTACCATCGTCGTACTTTTACTCAATTTTTACTTTTATTTATCGAAGAAAGTTCATGTATTAAACATATATTAATTAAAACATTTGCAATAGTGTACTAATGATTTTTTCTGAAAGGGAAAGCCGGGGTTCCAAATTTACTCAAGTCGTAAATCATAAAACGACCTAGAGTAAACTCTAACTATGATTGCAATAAAAAAGTTCTTAATTATATTAATTGCGTTACGAGGGTTGCTCCTTATGTTTCAAAATAAACATGACTTAGTGCAAATTGGTTTTTCTGGTCATCGCCAGATATTTCTTCGGCGCCAGCTTCCCATGGTCGCTTAAGGTGATCCTGGCAAGACTGCATCCTTTGATTCCATCTCATCTCTTTAGGGATCGAGCATGGGTGTGACGTTGGCTAGTTCCGTTATTGTCGAAGTTATCAGGCCGTAGGTGCTACTGGATCCTAAAATTTTTAGTCCAACCATTTCCTTGGCTAAAGAGTCGGCAATGCGATCACCTTTACTCCTGTCTTGCCCTTTAACCCACCTCAGGATAATGTTATTATCTACCGAGGAGTAAACTCCACATCCCGAGTCTTTTTTGGTTTTTGAGCCGTCTGTATATATGCTTATTGCATTTGTAGCATCTGACACTGTGTTCTGTCAACCCTTATTGCTACTTGCGGCGAGGGCTTAACTCTCGGGCCATTCTAAAACCCAAATAGGCGCACCAAGTCGCACAGTAGATTTCATCCTTTTCTATCCTAATGTGTTCTCTGTCAGTAGTGTACGCAGGTGGTGATATGTACAAGTCGCTTCCTAGATTTGACAAGCTGTAACTAAACTCTGTCCATCAAACAAACAAAGTAACACCACACACATTTGAATCTATTGGGTAAAATAAACAAGCCTCCTTAGTCCGGTGACATACTTCGCGATTTACGAGCGGCTTTTCCCACCGCGGTTTTCGAGCGGTTTTTTTATTTTTATGGCAAGCCTTGCATTCAAAGGGAACATGTCAGATTTTGCGATTTTTAACAGCGGCGATTTCTTATAGCCGACCGGTCGTTTGACTCAGAGCGACATTCGGAGGGCAAGGGCGACCAAGTAGAGGAAGAACCCGGGTAAACGAATGGGACCCGACAGTGTTGGTTATTGACGAGCGGTTTTTCAGTTGCGATTCGAGAAGGGAAGTATCTAGTCAAAAATCAGGAGTGCCAGGAAATCGCTCGGAAATCGTGGACAGTGTCAGTTACTCACTGTAGTACATTTTTACTCGGAAACCGTGATTGAGAAGATGAAACTGATTCGCTTAGAGAGCTCAAGGACATACAAAAAAGTGCATATCAGAATTGCATCGAGGATTGGAAAAACTCTGGCACAAGTGTATTATATCTGAGGGGGGCTACTCTGGATGGGACAAAAAAGAAATTGATGACTAAGTAAATATTTTTTAAGAAAAATGAAAAATCATCTTATTTTTCTGACAGACCTTTTAAAATCAAATTTGAAAAGTACCTAGGGAGGCTGAACTCAGCTTATCGTAGCTTGCTATGACTTGTATGACTCAGACATATCTTCTCGAAAGTACTGAAGGAATATGCCAATAATTCAGTTGATTTTTTAAACTATTATATCCGTGAATCATAAGTGAAAGTGACTCGAGTTTATTTGCAGTATTGTCCCTCTGGGGTGTTGCACGATATTTGATCCACTGGGGGAAATGCGCTGCAAATCGACCATAACATTGTACGATGCTATTACAAATAGTAGTACAATATAGGAGTTTCCCACGTTTATTCTCCACTCTTGTCATTACATAATACTGTGACATAATACTTAAACAAATTTATCTTCCAAACTTCTCGAATTTTCCAGAAGCTTCTCTTCAAAGCTTATTGAATTTTGTTGCTCATTATTGAACTCATATCACCCCTAGACTCTTTGAATAAATATGTTTCGGGATATTTTCCTGATTCAGTCAATTTATCCCACAGTCTCTTCTGGAGTACTGATTTCTTTCCAGAACAATCTAGCTCCTCCAATTCTTGCTTCAATTCGGCGACTTTCAAGTCCACTAGGGGCACTTTTTTATTGTCTATTTTCCACAAGACTGAATATGTCCACTTATTTTAATCGAGTCCGAAACACTTATTTACTTTCACAAGCCTATTTTTCGCGAGAAAGGTCTGTCAGTTTATGTTTCCGCAGTGCGGTACTGTCCACTTCGCGAAACACTACGAAATCAACAGTCTCTCTGCGCGAACAAAAAAGTCTTATTTACAATTTAACCGCAATACAAAAATTGTCCACCTGGCGCTCACAGATTTATTTTACAAATCCCACTTCTGACACCAATTGTAACAAATTTAAAGAATTTACTGTCAAACAAATTTATTTCCAACAATATTTCACTATCACAAACTACGCTTAGCAACTAACGCTTAATTTATTTCCACTATTTGAAATCCTTGTTTAACCGCTCGACTCACTTTCTGAACTCAACCCCCCTTGTGACGAGAAGCTGACCTTATATATCGGTAACGATCGTTCTAGAATTTTCTAGTTATTTCGGTACTCAACTAGAGTTTAATCGGCGGTTGCCTACTGCATTCCTTTTGCGGTGATGTCATGTGTTTGCTCGCTGGACTTCAAATCGGTCAGGGGCGGCTTCGAATTTGTTACAATACGCAATGTTATTACGTTCCTTCATTTGTAGATCAATTGATCGTTGTGAAAATATCTGAAAATATTTTCAAATAACTGTATTATACATATCCGTGCTTCATAACAACTTATCATTTGTTTCTCGTGATATCCTCGTCACGAAGCCTATCTCTCCTAGTTAGTTACTCTTCCGAGAAATCTAATTAGTAAGACCGAAAGAAAACAATATTCTGTTGATAACAATTCCTGTGTTTAAATATGGAATGCCAAATGATTGTGTAATAACTACGAAATTACTGCAATTTCTCGGTCAGTTCTCAATATGTAATATTTGATAACAACTGTCTTCTTGGGTAAGTAGGTGAGATAAAAAGAATAATGATTATTATTGCTTGCTTTAATGGTTTATGATTATTGCTGGCTTATTGTTATACTTTGGAATTTTCGGTTGTAAAACCATTCCTTGTCATGATATAATAATGTAAACAAGTATATCGCAGTATAATATTTTGACGTACCTATATTTGATCTTACAAAAGTTCCCCCATTGTAAATGGAATTTTTCTGAAGTTCAGAAAACGTGACTTTCTTTATACTGCAAACAATTTTATAAATATCAGGCAAACCTTTTGTCAACAGATAGTTATGGATATTTACATCATTGTTATAGTTATCCCAACAATCAATAAAATAAATCAAAATACTGACGTGCGGAATAGCTATTTATGATATTAGTGTTGGAAGTAAGGTTTTATTTTGTGAGTGAAAAAGTTTGAGAAATAATCGTAGCGAGCTGAGCAATTTCACAAACAAAATAAAAATTACTTTTAATACAAATATTATACAAAGTTTTTTGTACAACTATCCTGTTTTCATAATAAAATAGATACATTTAATATTTCCATAAAAACATACACACATCGGAAAAGTCTAGGGATATTTTTGAAAATGGCAATAATTTTTTTTTAGATCGCTTTAGGGAAAAAAAGTTGACGGGTGATTATTAAACGAATGTAACTTACAACAAAATTTATTAAATGGTCAAAAATACTGAGTGCGCATATAAGCAAAACTAAAAAAAA